CACACACACACACACACACACACACACACACATACATACAATTCAAATGATCATTTTGATTTTGAGCTATGAGCTATAAACAAAAACGCCAATCCCACTTGTTTCAGAGAACAATTATCGCATGATGACAGTACTATGAAATTCCATAGTTATGAGGGAAGCCTTAGAGGGGCAAATAAATCTCTGTAATATATTGCTTTATTTTAAATCCTCTTTTAGTCTTCCCACCCCCAAGTCAAGGCACTAACATGAAACGTGATATTAATTTATTCATATTTATAAAATTGATTTTCATTCATACATAAATTTGTGGATTTTTGTCTGCTCAGTCCAATTCATCCTCTTTCATATATTAATACAATCACCTGACAAGAGTGGAAATATAATGTAGTATCCTATCCCATAGTAATATTAAAGATAAACTCATCATTTAAATCTCCACAGTGGAAAAATGGACAGAAGAAGTAGAGGAAGAAGAAGAGGAAAAAGAAGAGGAGGAAGAAGAAGAAGAAGAAGAACCCATTTCTTATGAGGCAGAAGAAGAAGTCCCTTATGAGAAAGAGGAGGAGATCTCAGAAGTAACAGGTATTCCACTATTCAAAAGCTAAATAATTCTCATCTTTCCTGGTGTAGCGTAACTCTCGTTACAACATTTGTAATTTTGAAATTAAATCCATCATACACTAATGATTATATGATTTGTTTCATTCAAGTGAATAGTTTAATACAAGTAATTCTTAAATACATTGTTTTAATACAATTAAAACAATGTATTTAAGAATATCTGCATCTTCTTCCTTGTTTTGATGTAAGGAACACATCAACTTCTAAATCATTCTTAAAGGTTGTTTAAAAAACACCATTGTCTTGAATCGTGCTTTCCTCATCCAAATACATACATATGTAGAGTAGTGCATTTGTAGAGCAGCCTTGATGCTTCTAAGTCTACATGCATGTCTGATTCCAAATGGTAGGGCTATTGTCATGTGTGCATCTCTACAAAACAAGACTTCCTTCCTTTATGCAGTCATTCTTTTTTGCTGTACATACAGACATCAGGAGATGGGAATACTGTCCTGCACCACTTGCATGTTGATTCATCACAACATTTCATTTGAAAGGGACTTTATTATTCTTAAATAAATATGCCGTATGGAAATGTATTAATATAAATGTCTTCCTTTTAGAACCATAAGTCAGAGAGCATGGAAACCTTTGCAAATACTGTTCATATTGTGACAGTCCAGTAACCCAATGCAAGAACCAAAAAAAACTTTAAGAAACAATCTTGCATATCTTAAAGATATGTTGAGCTGCAATCCTGTACATAATTATTTGGGAATAAGTCATATTGAATTCAGTGTAGCTAATTTCTCTGTTTATATAGCATTGCCAAAATATTAACTCAGCACACTTTTCCAGCTCCTGTCATTTCCTGAAGAAGGAGGCTTCAATTCCTCTGCTCCATTTGTCCTCCCTTAGCCTGTCTCCTGGCTATTCATGTTATTATCTTGAGGGTATAACATGCATTCCGATAGTTTCTCTGAGTCTGGCATCTTTTTAAAGTCAACTGCAACAGCAAGGGGATTTCTTACTCTCTTCCTTTATTTCAAAGAGAGGCAAATTGTTTTAAATATAATACATTATCATCATCTTCATTATTATTATTGCTGCTGCTGCTGCTGTTTAGGTTACTGAATCTTATAAGCAATGAATTAACCCATGAATACATGTATATGTGATATAAGACATTCTGAGACACCTTTCTGAGTCTTAAACTTGGTTAGCCATGACTCTAGGATATGGACAGTTACTTGACATGTCAGAGTCTGAACTGGCCCAATGTGTGAACGTTGCCTCATATACATAAATGTGTGTGACTCATAAATAATAGATTCTGCAAGCTGTTATATATGTGGCATTTATTTCTTTTGATTATGCTCTAAAACAAGATGAGTTGTTCTACAGTGCATTGCATCCTACTGGAGAATACATTTGCAGGCATCCCCAGAATGTAGCACACAGTCCAGTGAATGAAGCATATTTGTAACTCTTGCTCATTTTCCTTTTTGCTAATTGTAAATTTTCTTATTCCAACTATTTAACTGTACATTCTAAGCAATATCTTTACATTGACAGAAGAGACCTATTACGCTGAGGAGGAAGTGCATATTACTGTTCCTGAAGAAGTGCCACCAATTAAAGGTATCTCATTAACTTCTTAATATATAAGGGTAGCTTAATTCAGATGTGTGTATGTGTGTGCGTGTGTGTCGTGTATCCTTTCATTGTATTGTAATCCTTTTAGCAGTGCACTTCTAAAGTTGGCCTTGAACAGAAGGAACTCTTCCTTATGCAGATGGTAGTGCCTGGAGCCAGCTCAGTGACTTATGCTGATTTCATATAATACCTCACTTTTTTTATACTGCTGCTAGGAGCTAGTATGGCTTAGTGCATCCATGTATCAATCAATTAATTTGAACCCTTCATTTGCTTTTTGTGTGGAAGATCCCTCCACCCCTCTTTCCATGCAATTTAAAGAAGCAATGGGTACACTGCATACGAAGTGTTTAGAAAGTGTTGCTTATACCTAAATATTCTTTCTAAAGTGCCAGAGGTCCGGAAGAGACCTGAACCAGAGAAGAGAGAACCAGTTGCTCCTCCCAAGAAAGTGGAAGCTCCTCCAGCAAGAGGTATAAATATTTACTGCTTTTTGTTACTTAGCCAAATGAGATTGTCAGTTATCTAATCTTACATGTATTGAGGGGAGGGAAGGTGAGAAGAAAGAGAAAGCTATTTAAATTTATACTAATCTCTTTTTCATGAACTATGAAAACTACATGTTCCTAAGTAATCTAGTCACATTGTCTTCAGTGAAATGTGTATGTCCTTAGTTCTCAATTTTTTTTCTTTAATGTTATTAAAATCACTCCAACTTTATAAAATTATGCAATTTTTAAAGTGCCCAAGAAAGTCCCTCCTGAAGAGAAAGTTCCACCTAAAGTTAAAGAACCTCCACCACCCAAAGGTAAATAAACCAAACAAACAAACAACTGTCAGGGGTGTGTTTTGTCTAGCTCTTGTTGAATATTCTTAGCTAGTCAGTTTTTGTTTTATGAATAGTATCTTCATTGTCACTGTATTTTGGCCCTTCTTTTAGTCTTCTCCCTGTAATGTTGTCAAATCCTCGGTGTCACTTCTTGTCTAATTCCTGTTGTAAATATTAAAAATTCATATTGATTATTAAAGGGGATTAATTCAGTTTAAAATACTTATGTCTGTTTGAAACGCATGCAATAGGCCTACCTTCATTATTTTTTTTAAGTGACAGAAATCCGCAAGAAAAAAGTGATTACTGAAGAAAAAGTTTCTGTCTCTAAAAAAGAAGAAGTTCCACCCAAAAAAGGTACATCAAGTTCTAAATTCTGTAGTGTGCATCTGTATCTTAATCTTGACTGGGAACTAAAAAATGGCAGTACAAGTCTGATAAATTGCTGAGAAGAAATGAATAAATACAGCCTGAGGAACCTATGGGTTTCATTTCTCAAACATCTACCTCTAGGACAAAAATAGCAAACCACTTTTAAACTTGAGGGGACTTTCAAAAACACTTTATGATATGACTAATAGAACATCATCAGGAGGACCTGTTATATAAAGAAAGCGGGGAAGCAAAATATCTTAGTAGGCATACCTGAGTAGGCAGTTTTTGTCTTGTTACTCTAATTATGTTGAATAGTCTTTGTTTCCTATTTGATGTACAATGTTGATGTCTTCATATCTTTAATAAGATTTGTAATTAATAGCAGTGTAATTTTGTAACTTTGACCTAGTACTTATCAGATATGAATAATTCAGATCAACTAAAAAATAAATATTTTTTAAGTACCAGCTGTGCCAAAGAAAGTTGTCCCAGAAGAGAAAGTCCATGTTCCAAAACCTAAGAAAGAGGTAGCACCACCACCACCTAGAGGTACATTACTTGTTTGATTCTTTAGGGAGTTTTTTGCATCAGTCTGGTAATTGCAGAGATTGTGAACTAGCTGCTTCCAAGAAGGACGCATTTCAACTTGGCTAAACATTTGCAGAAATGTTTTGCTCTGGCTTTTAGCAAAAAATATTAGGTTAATTGGGATATAAATAAATTTCAGTTCTGAAATACTTGTGCCATATGCCTGTATTATTTTTTATGTCTGCAATGTTTAATCAGTATACTAATCAAATTGGTTAATTAATTAGTAAGGGGCAATTATAAATAATAGAAGTTATATTTCAAAGTGGTTGGTCCAAGAGTCAAGGAACATTTATTTGTAGATCTTTTTGGCATTCAAATGAAATAAAAATAGTTAAATTATAAGGCTAGATATTTCCCACAAAAAGGCCCCTATATTAAGGTTTTAAGATTATGTAAGTCATACTGAAAATTACTTGATTAATTAATGAACTGGTAAAAGGCAACTGATTAACTAACATGTTGATACTGCAAATTAATCTATTGCAAGTTATCAGCTTGTGATAATCAATAGAATTGAATTGATTTGACTCCCCATGTAGGAACATTGTTTCCAGATATACTGGATTTCACTTCCATAATTCCTAGCCAATGCAGCCAATAAATGTTTAAATCAATACATCTGTAGGACACTAGATTGTGGAAGACTACTGAACACTATATTGTACTTTGGATTATCTTTTTTTATTACAGTAATGAAAAAGTCCTTTAGCATTCTTCTTAAGTGTCATTAATTTTGTGTTTCTTATGTTCTTGCCCTTGTTGAAAAGTGTTGCCTTGAATCTTCATCTTACAATCATTTACTAATGATGTAGGTTTTTGCAGGGGGTTACTTGCTTTGTTCTTGTTTTTGTTTTTGTATGCTTTAACATGATTAACAAATATTATTTCTACTACAGAATCAGTGTTGTAAAAAATAGCTTCATTCTGAGATAATTTTAAAACAAAAGCAATCTTCTGTATTCTGTAAATGATAGAGGTATAATATGGAGTTTTTAATATCTGTTCAGTGTGTGTCTGTTTAATGCTATGTTGTCAGACTGCTGACTTTCTTAGAAGAATTGTCTTGTTTAGCAATTTGGTCATTGTGGGAAATTTTCACCCATTATCCCACTTATATAATTATTGGCATCAACAATTTATAGAGAAAGGTGTAAATTCATGGCATGGTTTTCTTATCATTGCTTTCTTTCAACTGCCAGAAGTGCCAGAAGTTCCAAAGCGAGTTGTGTCAGAAGAAAAAGTATCAATGGTTATCCCCAAAAGAAAAGTAGCTCCACCAGAAAAAGGTATTTGAGCTTTGGACAGAACAAAAATTAGATATATATAATACGACAATCTTATGAATTCAGAAATCAAACAATAGCTTCCTTCCAAAATCATTTGAGGAGAATGGTCAATGCCTATTTTTCTTTCTTTCTGTTTAAATTCTAAAGGGAAGTCTTTAATCTGAAAGAGTTCCATCAGTATCACAGGAATTCTGAGTGTACACCTTAAATAGTATTCCCCTTGTGGTATTCTAAAGTGAAATACTATGTCTTTAATAGAAGCCATGGAAGAGCACTGGGGTTATACAGAGGAAGTGTCTGTTTCTCTTCGTACAGAGGAGGACGTTTCATATACAGGTATGATGTCAATGAGGAAAAACACAGCGGCAGCAACCGAAAGCCCAGTATTAAAATGATAACTTGTCATCTCCATTTAATATATGTAGAGAAAATGAATATTTATCATTTATTTGTAAAAATATTAGTTCTCCAAGAGAACTAAGTCTTATTATCTCCAACAGAAATGGGAAGGTTACTGATATATAATTGTGGTATGAATCACTGAGGGGCTCTGATCTTCATTAATAGTAAGGAAGGTTTAATGTCCTAATGAATAAATAATACTTAATTCTTGATAGCTTGATTTTTTTTCTTTGAACCCAACAGAACAGGTTAACAATCTAAGAAGGTCAATTTTGCACAGCATTAAAAAAATAGTTTTTTTCCTTTTCAATTTTTAACTTGGATAACTGCTTGAGTTGTTCCACGTCTTACACTGAAAGCTTCATCTCTCTCTAGAAAAATGGCTTAGAATAGGAAAAATCTTAAGGAAGTGGCATTTAGGAAGCTTATAGAAAAGGCCAACAGAAATTCAGCAGTTTCAGCACATAGTATCTTCTTAATGGGCTGAAAGGTTTGGTTACTTCTATTCATCTTGGATATTCTCTGGAAAAAATGTGCAGAGAAAACAGTCTTTACCCATTACCACAACAAATCTTTGGCTTGTATTCAGTGCTATTTATCAACAACACAGTGGCAAATCAGGAGCTGAAGAATACCCACAAGATTTTGGCTGTAACTGTCAAAACTTTCTTGATAATGGAATATGAAAAATGCCTAATTAAAAAAAATGTGTTAACATACCAAATGTAAAAGATTTCTCATCTCTTTTTAATCCAAGAGCAATACACTGTACAAGGAATAATGTAAATAAAAGAGATGCACCTACAGTAAAGTCCAATATCTTCTTTAACTAAATGTGTGTATATTTGTCTGGAAAGAGAAATGTATGTGGGTGTCTTTCTTTTTTAAAGCCTTTTTAGCACTTATATATTAATGTACTATATCTTTAAAGTTCCTGAAGAGCCTGAGAGAGCTATCAGAAAAGAAAGAATACCTATATCAATTACTGCAAAAGTGAAGAAACCTCCTGCTAAAGGTATATTTAAGATATAAATCTATGTCCTTTGTCTGTCGTGTATGCTGTATGTTATTCTAGTATTTATGATTAATTAAGTATTCTTTCGCTTAATGTTTACATTATTAAAATATTGTTGGTTATTGTTTGTAACTAAAACTCTCAAAAAATCATATTTTTTAAAGTTCCTGAAGTTCGTAAGACTGTAATTCGAAAAGAAGTGGTCCATGTGGAAGTTCCTCAGTATGAAGAAGAGGCTCCTCAGTATGAAGAAGAGGAAGAAGTTCCCGAATATGAAGAGGAAGAAATCCCACAATATGAAGAAGAGGAACAATATGTGGAGGAAGTCTCACGATATGAGGAGAAGGTCTCACTATATGAGGAGGAAGTCTCACGATATGAAGAAGAAGTACCTCGTGAGGAAGAAGAAGAAGTAGTAGTGGTACCTCATTATGAAGAAGTTCCTGAGTATGAAGAAGAAGAAGAAGAAGAAGAAGAAGAAGAAGAAGAAGAAGAAGAAGAAGAAGAAATTCCTCCACCTCCTCCACCTAAAGGTAAAATTCAGTTTTCAAAAGCAATGGCAAAAACCCATATATTTTAAGAATTTGCTCTTACACCAGATCTTTTGTTTGTTAATTCTGAATTGTTTTGATCTGTCATTCATCATCCTAATTGAATTTTGAAATTGATGTGTGGTTCTCAGGTTATAAAGTGCAAATACAAAAGAGAATATTCCAAAAAGATTTTACCTATTTAAGCTTTATGTGCTATCTTCTTTATGCAAAGTTATTTTACTTACACCCAAACTTTACAAGTTGGAAATAGAGAGCTTAATAAACAAGCCTGCTCTATCTGAAAGTTTTGAAATATACTAGTGCAATTTTATATTTACTGTACCTGTTCTTACATTAGTCCCAGTGAATTCAATGAAACTCCCAAAATACTGTGTACTATTCAGATCCCTAACATAAAGCCTGTAAACTCTCTTGACCGTGGCCAAGCATCGTGCTCCATTTGAGTGTATTTTTTAAAATATATTTTTAAGTTTTTTAAAAAATGGGAAGATAGCATGCTGCAAGACCTGGTCATCATATTTATTTCAAAGAATGTTTTTGGGCCCTTCATACACCCTAGAGGCATTCTTAGAAAGTAGCAGTGGGGATTTTCAATCCACTACTTTGCTGTATGCATGCTTACCTGCCCAGAAAAAAAAAATAGAAGTAAACTGAGGTGACAGATTCCAAAGAGATGATGTTCTGGTGATGTTTGTTAACTGGCCACATGCACCATGACAGCCATTTTCCAAATGTTTTCCTGTGCCACCTGCACAGGGTAAAAAAGGACAAAACTGGAATAGTAGAGTAGAACTAGGGACGCTGAGAGTGAGCAACCTCAGTAGCTTGCCTTCTCAAAATCCCAAGTGTCCTAAAATAGTTAAGGATCTCTGATTTCAGCCTGAGCTCCCCCAAATTAAATTGACACCAGCCAGATGTGATTCAGTTATTGGATTATTATTTATTAAGTTTAAAAAATGAATGGAGATCTGACTTGCTTGTAACCAAAATGCAAGCATCCAGCAACAGAGAGTTCTGAGACATTGCTAGAAAGTAAAAATGGTAGATGGTAACAGCCCAGTGCTTTATCTGGAAATGTTGCAAAAGAAAAGGACAAATGAGTGGAATTAGGGAGGTCAAGAGGGAGCAACCTCTTCAGCTTGCCTTCTGCTTAATGGATAATTTTATGACTGAATATGCCTACCACAGGATAGCTGACATATTCTCACATTTTCAAAGGTCCCTGCAGTATAGAAAGAAATTGTCCAAATGCAAGAAAAAGGCGTAGCATAAGGACTATCAAGAAAGTGGCCTTATTCCTCCCACACTCATATCCGATTATCTCAGCTCATTTCTTTCATTCATGAAGGACTATGTCTATATCCTTGAGAACTCTAATTTCCTCAATTGCCCTCCCTCTTATCTCCTCATTAGAACTGAAGGAACAAGGACAGGATTTGAAGTCATAAATTCACCTACTGGTGTTGTAGGGCAGATTTACTGTTTCTTCAAGTGGAATTCCTCTTCCTCCATGCAAGTTCCCAAGCCCATACAAACATAAATTGAGGGTATATGATGGAAATGGGTTTCCAGGGGAAAGGGAGAATCTACCAGTTCTGCTGGTCAGAGCCATTCCAATGTCAATCAGAGGAGGAGTGGAATGGAAACATTCAATCCCCCAAAGCTATTGAGAGGGGTGGGGGCTCTCCTGAATAATATGGCATGAAGCGTAACAGGTTGCTGTAGAGAAGAGATAAGGAACTTCCCTTGACCTGATGTGTGGTTTCACCATTGAGCGTTTGCACTATATGCTACCAGGGGCTTTGCAGGGGGAAGCCAAAAAAGTCAAGATAACAACTGTTACAGTATGATTGAAGCCCTGCCCTTTTTTAAATGCATGGTACATGCAACACATAAAAAAGGAGTGAGGCTTTGTACAGTCACATCTTGACCTTTCGACCTCTCTGTGGATGCCCATGTATGCTACAACTTCCTCTAAGTCCAAACGTTTAACCATAATGCTATCTTTAAAGTGCCTGAAGTCCTCAAGAAACCTGTGCCTGAGAAAAAGGTTCCTGCTGTGCCTGTTCCCAAGAAAAAGGAAGCTCCTCCAGTGAAAGGTATGTCACATTTTCCTCATCTTCATTTTCCTTTTCATTAAGTTTTTAAGAGACCCAAAGACATTTTTTAAAATGTCTTTGGATCTCTTAAAGGGATGGTGAATTATTGTAGGCCCATATTTTGTAGTGGCGTCCTTTATAGTAGTGTCCTTGCTTGTATTGTTTAACATGGCATCACGTGTCCTCAATAATCTCAAACCTTCTCTCTAAAGTGCCCAAGGTGCCAAAGAAACCTGTCCCTGAAGAAAAGGTTCCTGTGCCAAAACGGAAAGAAGCTCCACCAGCTAAAGGTGCACCAAGTTGGGATTTACCATGTGCAAATCCATGTAACAGTCCTTGTTCCTTTTGTGTGCTTTTAAACACAACATACTGAGAAAGCTCGTTTCTTGTCTTTTAAAGTGGTCCTTGTGTCTGTGTTCTTGTGTGTTGGGCACTATTCTTCTCTGATTTGTGCCAAAATGAAACACCGTGCTCAAAAGTATTTCTGTATTTTTCAATCCAAGTGCCTGAAGTACCCAAGAAACCAGTACCTGAAGAGGAAGTGCCTGTTCCTGTCCCTAAACGGGTAGAAGCTCCTCCTGCTAAAGGTAGATCATCTTGTGAGGCAGGCAGTTCTACAATTATTCACTTGGTCTGTACTGAGTAAGTGGCATTCAAGCCGCGACAAACAACAACAACACCTGAACATTTCTGTCAGTCCAGTTTTGTAAATCCTGGACCTCTTCGGTTCAGCAGCTATAGTTCTCCCATTCCACTTTTGTTTCTTTCACTTCTCTGCTTTGCTTTGCTTTTATTTTATTCTGCTTCAAATAAAATTGATTTGCAAATTAATCTTTTTTAAAGTGCCGGCTGTGCCGAAAAAGGTTGAGCCTGAAGAAAGAGTACCTGTTGCAGTTCCTAAAAAACCAGAGCCCCCTCCACCTAAAGGTACATGAAAGAGCGTGTTTAAATTATACAGCTGCTTTACCTTATGGAACCTGCACATATGGGCCAAATATTTGCAAATATTACATGCAAAATGATAACTAGGAAGAGCAAGTGGGTTTGTAACTATAATCCACTAACATTAGTAGGGTTTACCTTTTGTTCTTCTCCCTCACTATATTCTTTTTCTTTGTGATATGTTTCAAACATCAAATTTCTTAATATCTTTAAAGTGCCTGAAATACCTGAGGAAGCAGTGGTTGAAGCTGAAGTGCCTCCACCAGCTAAAGGTATAACAACCTGCCAATGAGTCCTCTTGTTTTGTTCTGAAATGTAGGGCTTGCTCATGTCAAATATTATTGTCGCCTGTTCCTTGACTGTGTCGTTTTTACGGTCTTTGTGTTGGTGACAACGCATCCACAAATCGTTCTCTTAAAATTATACCTTGGGAGGGCAATGAACACCAAAGAAGGCTGCCTCAGAACAAAAACTAACTTTTTTGTTTCTGAAGAAGTCATGCCTGTGAAATGTACATCAACCTCATTCACTTTATCAAAAATCTTCTTGAATATCACAGGAATAAAGACACCAATATTTTTTGTTTTACATTCCCAATAAACCACGTGACCTGATTTTATGCATGTTTATTTAATCATAAATCCCACTGAGTTCAATGGAACATATTTCTAAATAAGTTGGCATAGGGCTGCAGATTTCATTTTAATTGCAGTCTGATTTTTTTCTACTTAATTTTGTGTAATGTATAATTTTCTTTATAACTGTTTTGAAAATATTTTTAAGAGCATTTCTCTAAAAATAAATAAAGAGGTATAAGAATTCCTAGAGAACATTTTCTAAATAAATAAATAAATAAATATCCATGGCTGTTCCTAAAACAAGACTAAGAAGCTAGGTCCATGAGGGATTTCAGCTACCTTTGGATAAAGGTTGTAACTCAGTAGTAAACCATAAATTTTATGTGAAAAAAACAACCATACCTGAAACCACTAATAAGGATGAAAAAGAAATCTGCCACAGATTTCCAAGGGAGCAGTGTGTGAAATCCATCAAAACAGATTTTGCTGCATTGGATGGAATATATCAAACATTTTTTTTTCATATAAAAAAATGGGAGAGATGTTTTGAACATTTCAGAAAAAAGGGATAGGTATGTTTTAAAAGGGAACCTACATCTAGGAAATTTAGATTTGAAACACCTGAAATAATTTTTATAATGCAGAACAACATGACAGAGATAAGCATTTTAAAAAAGAGTTTCATAGAAAATGTATATTAAAAAAACTTCTGTGCTTAGGGCAGTGTTTCTCAAAATGTGGTCCTAGGACTGCTGGGCATCCCCCCAAGACCCTTTCAGAATTTGATTTCAAGACTCAAAATCAAAATATTTGCCAGCTTATGTTGAAAAATAATACAATATTAAAATCCCATCAAACAAGTGTGAGAAGCAGTAGCAGTAGTGAATGTATCCATTTTAATTTTTAATATGATAAATATCGATAATTATAACCCATACAAACAAAAGCTCTTTTGGGATCCTCCATAATTTTTAAAAGTGGGAAGGGGTCCTAAGAGAAAAAAGTTGAAGAAGCATGGGCTTGGGAGAAATAGACATACATAAGCCCCAAATGCTAGAGAAAATTGCAAATTAAAATGGAAGTTTTTTTTGAGAGGTTTTTTTTTTAATATGCACATGACATCTTGTTATGTTTTACTGAACATTGTGGGATTTATTTCCAAATAAAGATGCTGAATTGCACTGGTCTTTTTATTTAGCTTGAGCGCCAGCTTTCCAAGCAACCTGAGTGGAATCTGGCAGATAGTTGGTGCTAATGGCCTGTGGTTCACATAGAACAGTGTTGTCCAAACTTGGCCACTTTAAGATGAGTGGACTTCAATTCCCAGAAT